TTTTTAATTTAAAGTCTCACAATCATCTATCACTTTATAATAGAAAGTTTGTATCAAAAATATAATCCATGATTTTTAAATCCTGAAACTTGGTCATATATTCTACTTTACCCTTTGTAACATTAGTGAAAGTCTAATAAATATACTATATTGTTGAGTTGTTCAATGCTCGCATGGCCTGTATGTACGTAATTGATGCATTTGTCACCTTGAGGTCCCAATTTCAGCTTTTGTCTCTGAACTTGACCTGAGGAGAGAGGTGACTTGGTCTTCGTATAGAGGCCACGACGACGACTTTGTATCAACAGTCAACACAACTAGCTGTCCTTATATAATATTGAGCTACCTGTGTACTCTTTCTACAAGCGAAGACTTGGTGAAATAAGAGTTGACATTAATGGAAGATTTCGATGCAGTTTCTGTATCTGCTGTTCGAACAGAAAGAGAAGATGATAAATCAAGGTTACCAGAGCAGCAGCAAGGTCCTATGCAGGCCCCTGTGAACCAAACCATGATGCTTTAGACGAGGACTTTATTAGAGTGAGTTTTTTTTTTTTTTTTGAATAACCGGAGGTACACACACCTCAATTAATTTCCCAGAACTTTGAAACTACTAATCGGATAAAAACTCTAGTGGTCAGTCCTGTTAGCAATCAAGAATTGACTCAAACTCATAATCTCTTAAGTACGTAATACACCAAAAAATCTCTCTGGAATCACTCGACCATCCAAGAGTTGGTTATTAGATAGGTTGTGCTACATTGCATGTTTGAATTAGAGTCAAACGCTACTCAAATTAACTGGATGTATAAGTCAATTTATATATATATATATATATATAATATCTTCCAATTCTTTGCGGACAGCTAAAGTAAAGGTTTTAGCAAACACATGCAATTATATAAATTGATGCTCAAATAGTAATGGATGACTGCAACTTTATTCTAGCTATATATTTTTTTAGTAATTAACCTTCCATTTTCCAATCTTCCCCTGGAGCTTGCTTAACCTTCTAATATTCCGCTGGAGTCATTAATTTTCGTGTTGTTGTGAGATTTCTGAATGTTTAGGGCATTTCTCTATAAATTTTAGTTTAAAATGACTCTTTTGGAGTGAAATAATAATAATTTTGGACCAATAATATATTATTTTCAATTGCATTTCACTTTATATTGCACCTTTTTACAGTAATTTAAACCCTTTTAAAAAAAATACACAGTAATTAATGGCAAATAGATATAGCATCACGTCACCTACTCCTTTATATTGATCAGCTCTTATAGCATTCTCACAATAGCACAGGCATCGTGAACAGCCAATTATGGATGAAGAATTCGATTTGGAGATACCAAAAATTGATAATCCAAATAGTTCAAGTGAAGCTGTAGACTGGAGCAGCGGGCTATTTGATTGCTGGAGGAGCCCTTGCAATGGTGATAATACTCTCTTTACAAACTCATTTTCATTTTCATACAATTAATGATAATGTTCATAATGTAAGTTTGATTTCTTGCATTTCAGCCCTTGTCACTGTTTTGCTATTGCATGTTCATTTGGTAATTGAATCAATAAATTTTATAATTTGGAGAGTCAAGACCATCCTTTTCCTTGGATTAAATTTGAACATTTTTATTACATGTACTGGCTGTCTGATATTAAATTTAGCCTGTGGAACTCATGGAGTCAATTGCGCTTGCCTCACCTTGATTGGGTTGCCATCATGCCATGCATATATTACATGCACCTACCGGACTAAGCTTCGGATCAAGTTTGGCCTTCTTGAGGATCCGGCACCTGACTGGTTCCTTGACATCTTTTGTGCGTTTTGTGCTCTTTGTCAAGAATACAGGGAGCTTCAAGCTAGAGGCTGGGATCCCTCCGTTGGTAACTTACTTACTCATAATATCTTATCAATTAATTTGCGGATATAAATATTCTGAATACAAAACACTGTTTATTATTGTCGATTAATACTAAAAGACAATTTTTTTTTTTCTCATTTTAGGGTGGAATGGAAACTAATACAAAAGAAATTCATTATTTTTCTCTCAATTTCTCATAATATCAGAATTAAAGGTCTTAAGTTCAAATCCTCACATACAAACTAAATAAAGAAAAATGAAAAAACTCTCAGTTTGATGTGAGAGGATCCATTGATCTAATATATATTGAATCCTCACCTAACTACTAGTTTAAGTTGTCATCTCACATAAAAGCTGAAGTTAGTAAGTGTTAAATTCTTTATTAATTAGAGTCAAACGATACTCAAATTAACTTGATATATAAGTCAATTTTGCATATATATCATCTTCCAATTCTTTGTGGACAGTTAAAGTAAAGGTTTTGGCAACACATTTAATTATATAAATTGATGCTCAAATAGTAATGGCTGACTGCAACTTTATTCCAGCTATATATTTTTTAGTAATTAACCTTCCATTTTCCAATCTTCCCCAAGAGCTTGCTTGACCTTCTAATATTCCCCGGAGTCATTAATTTTCATTTTGTTATGGGATTTCTGAATTGTTTAGGGCATTTCTCTATAAATTTTAGTTTAAAATGACTCTTTTGGAGTGAAATAAGAATAATAATAATAATTCTGGACCAATAATATATTATCTGCAATTGCATTTCACTTTATATTACACGTTTTTACAGTAAGTTAAACCCTTTAAAAAAAAATACACAGTAATTAATGGCAAATAGTATAGCATCACCCACTCCTTTATATTGATCAGCTCTTATAGCATTCTCACAATATTACAGGCATTGTGAACAGCCACTATATGTGGACGATGAATTCGACTTGGAGATACCAAAACTTAATAATCCAAATAGTTCAAGTGAAGCTGCAGACTGGAGCAGTGAGCTATTTGGTTGCTGGAGGAGCCCTTTCAATAGTGATAATACTCTCTTTATAAACTCATTTTAATTTTCACACGATTAATAATAATGTTCGTAATGTAAGTTTGATTTCTTGCATTTCAGCCCTTGTCATTACCTGCTGTCCATGCATGACGTTCGTGCAAGAACTAGAGAGTATTCGGAATCACAGAAATTAAAGTATTAAACAATCACAGAAATCACCAACATTAAAGAGCAAGAAACACATGCGAGTTTATTCTGATTCACCCAAAATCGGGTTACGTCCAGTAGAATCAATATTATTGCTAATAGAAATCCAAAGCCTCTCTCGTTACAATGAATGAATTTTCTATGATTTTCTACATCACTCATACAAGAGAATAATGTCTTTATATAATATGTTTAATAAAAAAAAAAAAAAACTAATACTACCAAGATTCCTATTCCTAAGGCAAACCCTATTATGAATTTTATCTCTTAAAAGAACGCTACAATGTCTATTCTTCGTAAAAGCCCCCGTGTGTGTTGCACAAACTAGCTGTGACCTCGAGCTACGACCTTGAGCTGTTGAGTTGTGACCTCTATTGTCGAAGTGGGAAGAATTTATAAGGTGTTGTACGTTTTACTATAATATCATGATTTTCGAATATCCTTGATTTGATTGTCTAAAACGACCAAGCCGCTCTCACTATCATGATGGGCGCTTCTGCATCTCGTCTATTTTATTCCTCAATAATACTAAGTCTATAACCTTCTCTCACAACTCCTGACTTAAAAACTTGTCATTGGTTAGTTTGCAAATGAGCAGGCGAGACCTGTGCAAGTAGGTAAGTCCCATTTTACAAGCTGACTAATGACAAATTGTCACGTCGAGGGCTAAAAGAGAAGATTATAAGATTGAGTTGTAGACCTAGCATTACTCTTTATTCCTTTCACAAACTAGCTATAAGGTTAGAGATGTAATTTACTAATTTAAATTGTCACAAGACAAACAGTCAATATAGAATTGTTAACACGTGGCAGACGACACTTGTTTGTCGTTTAGTGTTTTTAAAGAGCTTTACAGTACCCATGAATAATTTAGCTGGGCCCTGGCCTGTGGTGGAACGTGAATACAGATAGTGAGTATCAGATTCCCTATCACTCCATGCCAAAACGTGAAACATACATCAATACTCCCGTACAGAGTTTTGATATTTCATGTCTCCAACTCCACAGCTACTATGGCCCATATCATACCAATTTTTAGATTTAAAATTTTTGGCCGTAGACTCAAAATTTAAATTTTGGACTCTCTTTTGAATTTTGATTAGTGTTGATTAACTTTAAGTTACATTAAATTATCAAAATCAAGAATAAAAAATACTGTACAAACTTTTTTTTTTTTTCGATAGAGATGATAATAATAACTTATGCACATCACAGAAGAAAAACTGAGCAATAATTACAGAATTCGAATTATAGAAGAAGCCAAGGCAAGTGAAATTTTTTTAACATAACAATCAAAAGTTTTCGTCACAAAGTTGACGGTGGAGAGAGTGCTTTGTGTCCTGGCTAGAAATTAGCAATGAAAGTATGACAGGTATACATTGGCCTCTTCCACACCATTAAAATCTCACTGTAATTTTTTATTTGAAAAAGCATGGCCACGAAACGTTTAATGTTCTCTATGAATAACTTTTTAGTAATGTTATATATACAAACTGGTGTTACAATTTTATATATTTGTCATATAATTTTTTTTAATTATTTAATTTATTTTTAATTTAAAGTCTCACAATTATCTATCACTTTATAATAGAAAGTTATTATAAAAAATATAATCCATGATTTTTAAATCCTGAAACTTGGTCATATATTCTACTTTACCCTTTGTAACATTAGTGAAAGACTAATAAATATACTATATTGTTGAGTTGTTCAATGCTCGCATGGCCTGTATGTACGTAATTGATGCATTTGTCACCTTGAGGTCCCAATTTCAGCTTTTGTCTCTGAACTTGACCTGAGGAGAGAGGTGACTTGGTCTTCGTATAGAGGCCACGACGACGACTTTGTATCAACAATCAACACAACTAGCTGTCCTTATATAATATTGAGCTACCTGTGTACTCTCTCTACAAGCGAAGACTAATTAGTGAAATAAGAGTCGACATTAATAGAAGATTTCGATGCAGTTTCTGTATCTGCTGTTCCAACAGAAAGAGAAGATGATAAATCAAGGTTACCAGAGCAGCAGCAAGGTCCTATGCAGGCCCCTGTGAACCAAACCATAATGCTTTAGACGAGGACTTTATCAGGGTGAGTTTTTTTTTTTTTTTTTTTTTGAATAACCGGAGGTAAACACACCTCAATTAATCTCTCAGAACTTTCAAATTACTAGTCAGATAAAAACTCTAGTGATCAGTCATGTTAGTAACCGAGAATTGATTCAAACTCATAATCTCTTAAGTATATAATACACCAAAAAATCTCTCTCGAATCACTCGGCCTGTCGGCCATCCAAGAGTTGGTTATTAGGTAGGCTGTGCTCCGTTGCAAATTTGCATGTTTGAATTAGAGTCAAACGCTACTCAAATTAACTAGATGTATAAGTCAATTTATATATATATAAAATATCTTCCAATTCTTTGCGGCCAGCTAAAGTAAAGGTTTTAGCAAACACATGCAATTATATAAATTGATGCTCAAATAGTAATGGATGATTGCAACTTTATTCCAGCTATATATCTTTTTAGTAATTAACCTTCCATTTTCCAATCTTCCCCTGGAGCTTGCTTAACCTTCTAATATTCCGCTGGAGTCATTAATTTTCGTGTTGTTGTGAGATTTCTGAATGTTTAGGGCATTTCTCTATAAATTTTAGTTTAAAATGACTCTTTTGGAGTGAAATAATAATAATTTTGGACCAATAATATATTATTTTCAATTGCATTTCACTTTATATTGCACGTTTTTACTGTAATTTAAACCCTTTTAAAAAAAAATACACAGTAATTAATGGCAAATAGATATAGCATCACGTCACCTACTCCTTTATATTGATCGGCTCTTATAGCATTCTCACAATAGCACAGGCATCGTGAACAGCCAACTATGGATGAAGAATTCGATTTGGAGATACCAAAAATTGATAATCCAAATAGTTAAAGTGAAGCTGTAGACTGGAGCAGTGGGCTATTTGATTGCTGGAGGAGCCCTTGCAATGGTGATAATACTCTCTTTACAAACTCATTTTCATTTTCATACAATTAATAATAATGTTCATAATGTAAGTTTGATTTCTTGCATTTCAGCCCTTGTCACTGCCTGCTGCCCATGCGTGACGTTCGGCCGGGTTGCAGAAATCCTCGATGAAGGCCACATCTGTAAGCATTTCAATTCCATTAATTATTTCTTAATTAAGGTAATTGTATTAAGTTAATATCATCCGCAGCATGCTGTACTAGTGCAATGGTTTACATGGGGCTTTTCATCTTCATTACACAATGGGCGCCATGCAAACTCACATCCATTTACCGAAAAAAACTCAGGAAAAAGTTCAACATTTATGAGGCTCCTACACTTGACTGGGTCACTCATCTTCTCTGTCAACCTTGTGCTTTTTGTCAAGAGTACAGAGAGCTTCAATCCAGAAACATGGATCCTTCCCTCGGTAAGTGATGATCGATCTCTCAACTCATAGCTATCTCATCTCATTACTGATAAAGTTTAACGTTTAAAAAAATCTGTGCGTTGTCACATCTTTTACGACTACATAATGTGCAGTAGGGTTTAAATCTATTGTCTATGTTTTTGAAGGTTGGAAAAGAATCAAAGCGATGAAGAAAAACAACAATCAGGAGCCAGAAATGAGGGCGCCCGATAATCAAAGAATGAATAGAGCTTGAAGTGGAAATTTAATCAAGTTTAAAAATAAATCATATATAGTTTGTGGTGTGAGTTTGAACTTTTTGTTCTTTAATTTTCGTGTATTATCTAATAACCTGTTAAATGGAGAGATAATTGAATAAAACAATAAATGTACTGTGTTTACAATGGATTCTTGACTGCTTGCTTTGATTACTTCTCTTCTTTCTGCCAAGGTTTAATATTGTGTCCTCAAAGCAAATTAATAAGATTAAACTAAATAAAAATGTAAGGAACAATTGGAAACCTATGCAAATCCTCTTTGGGTTCTTATACAACAAAATTATACAAATTAAATTGAAAAAAACAAAAACAAAAAAGATGATCTGAAATATATTTATTTGGGAAATTCATCGTTTTCAATCTTAATTTTAAGTGTCAAAATACAAGAATCTTGACCTTAAATACACAAACCTGTACTACTTTAAGCTCTACCACTGAACGGCATTATCCAAAATCTCAATCAACCTATAGAAACTCAACTAAGAAATTAACGAAAATATAAAGACATGCAGAAGAAGTTCATCAAATTAAACATCCAAAAAAGATCTGCAGATGCATAAGAGAATATTAAGAATTATGTACTTCTTTAATAGAACCTGTCTTACTGTACCCTCAAGTGAGTTTATAAATACAAGTTAGAGGGGGGAAATTATAACTTGCCTTTTGAGTTTTCCTATTTCACTCTTAAAAAAATCTTCTTCTAACTTAAGCTGTTCTTTCTTTTCTTTTTTTTTTTTTTGGGTAACATGGTAATTGCAGTAAAAAATAAATGAATAACAAGCTACAGCCAGCCCTTGGGCTTGCTCAAAAGGGAGCATCAGGGAAAGGAAACCATCCCTGCAGCCCAGCAACTAAGCAATCAAAAGGAAAAGAAATGGATCCTTAGACTGCTGAAAAAACACAAAGCACACAGACCCTATATATGCACAGCTAGACAACTGCATTGCCCACAAAAACCTACTCAACAAAAAACTGCACAACCTAGCAAGGATCCAAAGATGCATTTCCTGCTGCTGTCCACTCTATCCAGGGCAACAGAAACCTGCCGGCCCCAACCGGAGACAAGAAAGGCAGCTGCCTGCTATAGGAAATTGCACCCCACTCCAGCAAGCAGACCTGAGGGAAAATTACATCTGCATAAACAACACACCTGCCACAAAACCCAACCACAAAATCCAGAAACAGAGGGCCGAAAGGGATCTGCAGTAGCACAACTGTAGAATTTTCTGGTGAATTTCCAGAAACTATGCAGTTTCGGATTATCCATTCACAGCCCATACCCTTTCCAATTAGGTTCTTGTAGAAACAAAGACCTGAATGCCAAACCATGCCACCAACGAAGGCAACATCACCGCCTTTTAGAGAGATCTCTAACACTCTCAATCTTTCCGTTTTGCAGCAAAATCCCAAAAAAAAAAACAAACAACTCCAGTCTGAAACAATAACTCCTGCCTGCTTGCCCTTCCGAAACAGTCAGCATCTTTGTTTGTATCTTTGTTTGGGAATGCAGCGTGGTTCAAAATTACCATGCCAATTCTAAAAAGGGGAATAGTCACGAGAAGAAGTTAGGAGGGAAGTGGAGAACCTTTTCTGCTAATTTTATTTTCTGTTTGCGTATGCAGGGATGCCTTTTAAAATCAATAATAAGGAATAAACAAAAATTTGATAGATATCAAACTCTCATCTGTGTTTTAGCAAATCAAATCATCAAGTGGCTGCTGGTGGCGCTTCACCTTCACCAGTCCTTGTATAATTATTGAGCTACCTCGATCTCTACTCTCTCACAAGCCAAGAGTTGGTGAATGGTGAATTAAGAGTAAAAAATGGAAGCTTTGGATGTAGTTTCTGATTTTGCTGATCAAATACAAACAGAAGATGATAAATTAGAGTGACCAGAGTTACCGCAGCCTCCAGAAACTAATTCAAATGACTCAAGTCAGCCTTCAGGAGCTTGGAGTAGTGGGCTATGTGCTTGCTGCAAGAATCCATGCAATAGTCATTCTCTCTCTCTCTCTCCAAAGCGATTTCATTTAGAGCTCCATAAAATTAAAATAATGCTTAATTTCTTACAATATTTCAGCGCTGGTAACAGTTTTCTTCCCTTGCGTGACGTTCGTCCAGGTTGCAGAAATGGTGGATGAAGGCAACGTCAGTAGGTATTCCAAATTTTTTATTTGTATATATAACTTAATTATCAATATGATATTAACACATGGATGGTTTTCTTTTCTGGTGCTTAATTGCAAATAAATAAAGAATGTTGTACTAGTGCAATGGTTTACACGGGGTTGTGCTTATTCTTCTCTTGTGGAGCATGTAAACTCTCATCCACTTACAGAAGTAAACTGAGGAGAAAATTTAACATTCCTGAGTCTCCTGCTCTCGACTGGGTCACTCACTTTGCTTGTGAATGTTGTGCTCTTTGTCAAGAATTCAGGGAGCTTCAATCAAGAGGCTTTAATCCTTGTCTTGGTAAGTCCTCACAATAATAATATCAATTAATATCTAAAACTTATTAAAAATATCAATACTTAGTTGTCACGTCTATATATTATTATTATCTGAAATAGGGTTTGGGTTTATAACTGTGTGCATTAATCAGGTTGGAAGAGAAAGGAGAATGAGCAGCTAAGTATGAGGGCATGAGGCCACTTACGACCCAAAGAATGACGAATTGAGGATTGCTGTGTGTGTTTCTCTCACAACATTCAAAAATGGATCTTTAGCTGAATCTCCATCCAACAGATATTATGCTAATTCCACCTGCTGAATCAGGAAGAGATAAGTTCAAAATCTCCTGCAGTCACCTCAAATCATTAGTAACTTTAATAGAAAATGTAAGGTTCTTTCGTTCACATGGATGTGTTATATATGCTACAATATTATATAAGTAACAATCAACTGTCAAGCATTTGGCCAAATTNTATATATTATTATTATCTGAAATAGGGTTTGGGTTTATAACTGTGTGCATTAATCAGGTTGGAAGAGAAAGGAGAATGAGCAGCTAAGTATGAGGGCATGAGGCCACTTACGACCCAAAGAATGACGAATTGAGGATTGCTGTGTGTGTTTCTCTCACAACATTCAAAAATGGATCTTTAGCTGAATCTCCATCCAACAGATATTATGCTAATTCCACCTGCTGAATCAGGAAGAGATAAGTTCAAAATCTCCTGCAGTCACCTCAAATCATTAGTAACTTTAATAGAAAATGTAAGGTTCTTTCGTTCACATGGATGTGTTATATATGCTACAATATTATATAAGTAACAATCAACTGTCAAGCATTTGGCCAAATTCCAATGGAAAGACTGGAGCAGTGAGCTAATTGGTTGCTGGAGGAGCCCTTTCAATGGTGATAATACTCTCTTTGTAAACTCATTTTAATTTTCATACAATTAATAATAATGTTCATAATGTAAGTTTGATTTCTTGCATTTCAGCCCTTGTCATTACCTGCTGCCCATGCATGACGTTCGTGAAAGAACTAGAGAGTATTCGGAATCACAGAAATTAAAGTATTAAACAATCACACAAATCACCAACAATAAAGAGAAAGAAACACGCGCAAGTTTATTCTGGTTCACCCAAAATCGGGCTATATCTAGTAGAGTCAATATTATCGTTAATAGAAATCCAAAGCCTCTCTCGTTACAATGAATGAATTTTCTATAATTTTCTACATCACTTATACAAGAGAATAATGTTTTTATATACTATGTTTAATAATTAAAAAAAATAAAAAAATAAAAAAATCCTAATAGTACCAGGATTCCTATTCTTTAAGCAAACCCTATTATGAATTTTATTTCTTAAAAGAACGCTACAATGTCTATTCTTGGTAAAAGCCTCCGTGTGCGTTGCACAAACTAGCTGTGACCTCAAGCTACGACCTTGAGCTGCTGAGCTGTGACCTCTATTGTCGAAGTGGGAAGAATTTATAAGGTGTTGTACGTTTTACTATAATATCATGATTTTCGAATATCCTTGATTTGATTGTCTAAAACGACCAAGCCACTCTCACTATCACGATGGACGCTCCTTCATCTCATCTAATTTATTCCTCAATAATGCTAAGTCTACAACCTTCTCTCACAACCCCTGACTTGGAAACTCGTCATTGATTAGTTTGCAAAGGAGCAGGCAAGACCTATATAAGTAGACGGGTCCCTTTTTGCAAGCTAACAAATAATAAACTGTTACGTCGGGGGCTATAAGAGAAGATTGTAAGTTTAGGTTGTGTACCTAACATTATTCTTTATTCTTTTCACAAACTAAAACTAGCTATAAGGTTAGAGATGTAATTTACAAATTTGAATTGTCACAAGACAAAACAGTCAATACATAATTGCCAACACGTGGCAGACCACACGTGTTTGTCGTTTAGTGTTCTTAAAGAGCTTTGCAGTACCCATGAATAATTTAGCTGGGCCTTGGCCTGTGGTGGAACGTGAATACGGATAGTGAGTATTAGATTCTCTCATTCCATGCCAAAACGTGAAACATACATCAATACTCCCGTACAGAGTTTTGATATTTCATGTCTCCAATTCCACATCTACTATGGCCCTATATCATACAAATTTTTAGATTTAAAATTTTTGGCCGTAGACTCAAAATTTAAATTTTGGACTCTCTTTTGAATTTTGGTTAGTTTTGATTAAATTATCAAAATCAAGAATAAAAAATACTGTACAAACATTTTATTTTTTTTCAATAGAGATCATAATAATAACTTGTGCAACATCACAAAAGAAAAACTGAGCAATAATTACGGCCGAACGATTGCACCTACCCAAGGTTTGACGGAACAACAGATTAGTATCTAAAAGGTTTGAAAATGACAAATAGGTACCTTCTGTCATGTGCTGTTAGTGATTTCTGTTTGCTAATGGTGAAAAAACTAGAATGCCCTTGGAGAAATATTAGTCTATTTTTTTAATTATTTTTAGACCCCTTAAGTTTATTAAATTCATCAAATATCCCCAGAAAAAAGTTTAAAAATTAACAAAAACACCCCCACCCACCCATACTTGCCAGATTCCAGTAGCCACTGCCAGTGGTAGTCGGAATCTGTCACAACGATCTACACCACCATTGGAA